TTGTGTAAACCTGTGTTGCAGAGATTATGTAATTCTCTCCTTGATCACTCCTCCTAATAATTGTTGTCATGGTGACACCATCACTKCTGCGCCGACGCACTTCTTCCTTCCTGCTGGTTTTTGCTCTCCGTCCTCTAATTTGCCTCTCAGATCACTGCAGCATGAGATTATTCTCAGCAGAGACGGTGAATCTCAGTGTTGGTTCGTCACATGTGAACATATTTAACACAACCTCCTGCTAAAGCTGATTTTTGTGTTTTTATTTTTAAACTGTTTTCATTTCGAGGCAGAACAGTGAGAGCCAGGAGTTGGAGTGTTTGTTTATCARAGAGCTCTTTTATTTCAAGAGGAGTAAATGAGGTAGAGAGAGTGATGTAAGGATGTGTGTGTGGAGATAAGAGGATTTACAATCCTGTTTATTTTACATGACCAGATCACAGCTACCTCTTGACTCTGTAACCACAGGTGTGTGTGTGTGTGTGTGTCGTTCCTCTTCCTGCTCTGTAGTTTGGTCATGTTAGCCCTTCGACTGTCCTTTGTGCGCTCAGAATATTATCTGTTAATATTTCCTGACAGGAGTGTTGATATGTTGATCATCCTGTCAAATTTTGACATCAAAAAGCTCCCCTGGASTTTCATTTCTCCACGTTTCCACATTTTTATTCGATGATAATTCACGTGTGTAATATAGCATTTTAAAATAATAATTTCAGAAATATCTGAAGAGTTTTAAACCTGTTTTTAAAAGACAAAAATCAAGTTTTAGAGACATTAATTTCCTCCTGGAAACGTCAAGATGACCGAAAGAAAATCCTTATTCTGTCTTTAGGCAACACTTTAACTAAAATCTGTTTTTAGTAGTGGTGGGCACAGTTCCCCTAAAGCACTAATAGGGGAACTAATTTCCTGATTAGTGTTTTAGGGCTTTTGTTAATTTATTTGCTAAAAAAATATTAGTGGATTAGCACTTGCTAAGTTTCTAGGCTAAATTTCGAAGCAATAACTGAGGTCTTTAAATGTTATTGATCAGTGTTAATGTTAACAGCTGATGGTGAAAGCTGTCACTCATTTTGTTCATGTGTGTCACTTATCCACCAGGTGACAACATAYGAACTCAAATACAGCTGTGGRWTGTCAATGATAAGTCTTTACAGAGCAACATGTGACTCATGTTGTTTGTTGAAGAAAGTTCATGGGTTGACTGGGTTATTTTAGTGCTTTAAAATTTGCTTTTGCTAAAATTTTCAGTGCTTTAGTGCTTAAGAATTAGGGGATTTAAATATTTGAGTTAGTGTTTTAGGGCTGGTGGAAGTAATTTTTACATTAGTGCTGCCCACCACTGATTTTTAGGTAAATTTTTTTATGTTATGTTAGAAGGCTTGAAACTTTGTTTATTCAGACAAACAAGCTGCAAAGGTTTGGCTGAGGTACAGTGAGTCTAATATGTTTTTTTGCCTTCTTTAATCAGTAAAATTAAGAACTAAATGTGATATTTTTATTGCAATATTTGCATTTGAGCCATTTGTACAGCTAAGCTCAGGTTAAATGAGTTTAATGATAAAAACCAGTGACTCAGACCCAGCCTACCGGTACATCCTGCTTTGTCTTAAGGTTTAATGATGTTTTTGAGCTGCATAAAAACACCAAGTTACTTATATAACAGGTTCTATCAGTCATGGTTTCAGTTGGTGTTTGAGACATGTTTGACATGAGAAGGAAGTTTAGCTGGTTTTGTGATGGAGAGTTAACCTGATGAACTAATGAGTCAGAGTTGAAGCAATTAAATCTGTTKGTGCAAATTACATCCAGGCTTTGGGTCAACCTGGTTTTCAGGGTTGGATGATGCAGTAAAGTGCATATCTCAATATACAATAAAAATATTATACCTACTTAAGGGTCTTTATGTAACAACCATGTAATAAACAAATACAGTGAACATAATGAGCACAAATCAATACAGAAAAACTCCAAATGATAACACATTTAGAGAATTTTATTAGCATTTTGTTTCTTCATGTGACCTCTTCACAGCATAACTGCTCATTATCAAGCCCTGCAACTGAGACAWAACTCCTGTTTAAGGCATTTAAATAAATATGAATACAGGCATGTAGTTGAATTCATAGTCACTGTTGTGGTACTACTCTGTGTCAGGCTGACTGCGATTTTAGAGAACAGCTTCACTTAAATGTGATCTGGTAAATGACCCATCAATATAATGTGGAGATAAAATATAAAGTAGTCTATTAGATGAGCCTTTCCAGTATATGTAGGAACATGGGAAGTGTTCTAACACAGGGTTTTATGACCACTTTTTAAATACTAATAATAACCATTTATATAAAACCAATTTCCAAGAAACACTCTGTGTAAATGTTATCTCATATGCAGCAACTACACTGTGA